CAATTTCTTTTCTTCAAGGAATACTCAATCTAATATCTACTAACCAAAGATACATCTGCTTTTCTTTATCAGCCCCTGCTCCATGGCCCATTTGAGCTCCTCTTAAAAGTTTCCATTTGCTTCCCTTCCATGTGCAGTTAAGCTGGAAGTTCATAGCCCCCATACGTGAGCACTGGGGGGATACGGGAGGGCGATGCTGCCCCCCCCTGCAGTTTATGAAATGCTACTGACTGCTACAGCAGGAAAAAAAGTCTGCCTTCACCCAAGCTGGAGATTGCTTCCTAGAAGATGAGGGTCTCTTCAGAAAAATCTTAAAACCCTAGGTATGTAGGAGAACTGTCAGGAAGGACCCTCTACCCACCCTTCTGATGCATCTCAGAAAACCCAAAACCATCTACTTCAGAATGAAATTCTGAGCAGCTTTTATTAACTGGCTAATGCAATGCACCGGTCAGGGTTTTGCTGCAAAGCCTTCCTAGGTAATTTCTTCATGACTAACCCACGATAAAAAAAGAAAACATAAAAACATCTTAAGTGGGTTCCACCAGTAGCAAGGAAAGCAAGCAGACTTCGAGACAGACATAAATACCTGCAGCTAATACAGTACAGTCGGTTTTATTGAATCCCAGGGATTCACACACAGTCAAATTTTGTTCCTACTGTACATGAGAAGCCAGATTTGGTCACTATAACGAGCAGAGCTGGCTTGAACCTCACATTCAGCACCTCCGAAGGCATCTCTAAGCACATAAACTGGTAGCAGATGCCAAAATCCATCATTCTGTCAGGCCACCGCTGACTTAGACATCATTAAAAAAAAAAAAAAAAAGGCCAAAGAGGGCTCTGAAGCAATCAAGTGTTGAAATATTGTGCCTCCTGCCTGCAGTTTAATTATTCATCTTTCTATAGCAGGTTCTTGGGAGCAAACCCCAACTGCAAAATCAAACAGTACAAAATAATCAAACAGCTCAGAGAATCCCTGGTAAATATTATCACGGAGAACCCTCCCCGGAGAGTGCTGGGCGGGGGGAGAGGGGAGCCCACCCCACCGCCCAGGCTGAAGAGCTGCTGAGCCCCTGGGCTGTACCTTTCGGCTGGAGCAGCAGGTCCCATTACCCCTGAAACCAGCCCACCCCCTGTCCCCAACAATGCGACTAACCCTACTGAAACTTGGAAATCCAGCTTTTCAGGATTTTCCAGGCTTAGGTCAGTAAGCAAACCCATGCTGAGAAATGAGAAACTAAACCCCAAAGGAGGAGTGCGTTTGAGTCCCTCCAAGAGCAGCAAACAGCTCCCCCAGCAGTCCTGCCCAGCCTGACACTCTTAATTCATCCCAAACCAGCCCCCGGATCTTCCCTCCCTCCCTTTCCCAGCCTGTCCCCTAACAGTGCCCGAGACCAGGGAGAAACCAGAAAACCTCTGCGGTGACTGCCTGTCCCCAGGGGGGCTGGCTGCGCTGGGGTGGGAATAAAGTCACGACATTATGACAAACGCTCGCTGCGGCCATAAAAGCAAAAGAAAAAAGGCAAAATAATCTTAGTAGCCTCCATAGTTGTGGATGCAACAAAGCTACCCAGCAAGGAACGGGGCAGACTGGGGTTTTCAGGGCTTCAGTTTTCCTAAGAGAGAGCAGTGGAGGTGAAAAGGGAATGGAGTGATACAGGCTGCTTTGATTCCTTAGCTGATGAGCCTGCACACTGCGTAATCACGCAGGGCTTTTTTTGTGATTGGTATTTAAAATAAATGTCTCTCTGAAGGATATTAATTCTAGAATGAAACTTTGCACCAAATGGAATATGCAGTGTAGGTGTGAAATGTTAAGGCACTTTAAACGAACTTCTGCAATGGCAATATGCAGTACTGTTAAATGACCAAACTACTAACATCTAAAGGGGAATTAATTAGGGTATGAAAGAGAAAAGGTTATGTTAAAGCATTGCAGTCTAGTCCAGGACACAAGGTACTGGTATCTGACACCACGGTAAATTACCTGCTGTGCAAAGGCAGCTTACCTTTCCCACTGTTTCAAGCGGTCAGTATTCCCAGATCATGAAAAGGAATTATTTTGCCTGCTGGAAAAATAAACATCCCCACAAACAAAACAAAAGCCTTGGATATACGGTTTGGCAGATAAAGCACTTAAACAGAGACTTTCTTAATTACAACTAAACTTCACACAGGTAGAGAACACAGTATTTAAGGTCCCCTCCTTCATTAACTCCCAATCCTATTTTAATGCATAAGAGTCACATCTTCAGTAAGCTTCATTCTTCATTTCTCCTTATTTTGCTTTAACCTTACCTCTGAAACATCCTGGGCCCTATTTGACATGAAAAAATCAACCAGAAGTAATTTGTATTTTATTAACTCCCTAAACACACAGATTGATGGATTTATTTGGCTACGTGTGCTGTGTCGGGTTGTGTCTGCAATGATCAGCCATGGAGGAGAGTGCCTTTGTGTTGGTGCAATCAAGATAAAAGAAAACAACAGAGAAATGCGTTCATGGTACAAAGCTGACATGAAACAACTGCATCGGGTGAGCTGGCATGGAATAACTTTTTTACTCTTATATACATTTGGAGCCACCAAACACAAAACCCAAAAGAAGTTCAGCTTAGCAGAGCTGCCAAGTGACTAACAGGCTCTAACAACATGTACAAAGCCAAGGGGAAGGGGCACCACCACCCTCGGTTTCCCTTTGGAAAACACCAGCTGCAGTCTAACCTCAGGCAGGCCCTGCTGATGATCAGTCACCATCTTGCTGTAACGCTAAGCCACAGGAAAGATTTTGTTTTAAACAGGTTTGATGAGAGTTCTGCAATATGAATGATCATGAGTGCATGAATCAGTTCTCACACGTTCTCATACTTAAAACAACAAGAATCTGCTTTGAATTAGAAATGTAATGGGTCCTGGCAACAGAAAATTGGGTTTTCTTGACAGGAACTGCGTTTTGGGGAAGAGAGGGTTCTAGTATTACACAGCAGCACTGATCTGTAGCACTTGCTGCAGCCCAGGGACTGCGTGCTGACCTAAAGAGTACAGGGAAAAAGCATCAGCTTCACCTGCAAAAAGCAGGGCACAACAATCAGTTTCACTGAGCGTAAACTAATGAAATACTGGGGAAAATACTGCAATATTGAAGTTATGCAGACACATGCACAAACTCTTAATTTACCCACAAAGGAAAAAGGCACCCATCAAAATAGGATCATATGTACAATGTGTTTTATCCAAAATGCATCTGTACTTGATGTTATATCAAATTTGTTCCATATGAAACCAAAATGATGGACCAACGCCCATGTTTGCAACGTGCAGGATCTGCACCAAACCACACAGAACCCTACTCAGGACACCTGCTGAGATGGGACCTGACCCAGCCCAAGTCTCTCGGTTCCTTTGGGAGGGGAAGGGGATGCACCCCGCCCAGCAGAGCTTGAGCTGGCACACTGCTGCACCCCGAGCCCCCCTCTGCAAGGAACAGCTTTTGGTTCAACTAAACAGCCTTGTCCCAGCCTCCCGCCCCACCGCCATCCTCGCTTTCTCCCCAGACCTTCTCTATTCCCTACTCCTTCCTCTATTTGTTCCGGTGATTCAAAACTGCTGCCAGTCCACACCCCCCAGTCCTAACCCTGTCCTACCAGCACGTCCTTAAGGCTCCACGCCAGCTCCCCTCATGCATCAGCACAGGAACAGCTTGGCTTGGCTTAGTCCAAGTAGCAGCAAAGAAATCAAACCATCTCTGAGAAGCGAGCTGTGAACAGCTGCAATCAGAAAAGAAGTACGAGGAAAACCACAAGAGCTGCCCCACATTCTCTCCCCATGCCCTTCGTCAGGTCTGCCTCTCCCAAAAGTCAAATGCTTTGCGCTCAGCCCATCAGCGGTGGCCAAGATGCAAAGCTGCCTTTAATTTTTTGTCTGTTAACAGAGGAAATTTCAAGATGAAGGGACTAACCTAGAGAAGTATCTAGGCTGTTAAGAGACCACATTTCATTATCTACATATTTTTATTCCTTTGACTGACCAGAGCAAAGACAGGAGCCACTGAAGCCGTTAAATACCTTTGGTTCAGCTGTTGCCATCATGCCCTAAGGCTCAAGGTGCATGCTACGGCAGCAGTCCTGACCTCACACTTAGGAAGATTTTCAACTGAATACGCTTGAGAGCAGGATATTGGTAGCATCTGCGTAGCCATTACTCAAATCATCTCAAAGAATTTACCTCCTCCTGCAGCTAGTCTGGAGTCTTTACTAGAAAAGGATTGCTTAAAATTAATTGCAATAATGAGCAGGATTGCTGTCATATTTCAGTAACAAGCGTACGCATGCACACCCTCTCCATTCAGAGATCACAAAACTCCCCACGAGCGTGCTGTGCCAAGCACTATGCGAGGTCATTTTCTATGCCAGAACTGAAGGGTGCGAGGGGAGGAGAGCTAAGTGCTCTACCCTGCATCACAGAGCCAGCGCAGGAGGAACGCGAATGGCAACAGGAATCCTATTCCTTATGCCCTGCATGAACCTCCAAGGTGCTTCAGGGTAAGCAGCCTTCCAGCACTTTTCTACTGAAGTACCTTAAGGCATGAGAAAGCGGCATGAGAATTCACATTCGCTCCTTTTACTGCAGATGTTTCTTCCACTCCGTTGTACGATATTCAGCCTCTTTGAAGCTTGATTGATTTTAATGATACCCAAAGGCTGACCATAGAGTGTAACAACCGCATTTTTCAGCGCAATGCAGAAGCCACGGTGTTATTTACCATACTTTAAAGACATTCTTTCTCCACTCCAGGGCAACAATTTATAATATGCTTTCATGTATCTAGTAGGAAACAGACTGCATGTTAGTTTTCATACTGCTTCTTCAGAGAACACACTGTATCGGCTGTAAAGGAGGAACACCAGTCAGGTACTTCAAATGTAACATCTGAAAGACAGTAAAATAAAAGGACTAACTGATAAGAAAAAAAGCAAAGACATCCATGTTTTTATTACAAAAACACCCAGCAACTGTATTTAACACAAAAACAGTAACTGAGAGTCTCATTTTATTTTTCTTTCAGTGTACATGCTCATTATTATTCCATTTAATTTACAGAAGGGCTATGTAAAATGAAATTAAAATTAGAGAGGAAACAAAAGGAAGGTTGAGGCATAGAATTTTCTTTGCAAGCAATGATCACAGGAGACAGCACAGATTGAACAGGGATTCAACAGGAGTGACACCTAGGGATAAAGGTAAACAATAACTTTTTCCTTATCCATTAGATTCTCCGTGGGACTTTTTTGTTTGTTTTAGCAAAACAGTTTAGAGTATCACAGTATACAGGAAGACTAAATGGCAAAGAACGTCTCACACACACACCACATTCATCCCTGCTACTGGTCCAGGATCCAAAACTTCAGTTAACATTCGACTTCCTATCTCTCATTCATTGATAAACTATACAGGATTACACTGTACATGAAGTTAAAATTACAAAAATGTCATATTTACAAAATCTGTACACACATAGTAAAACTCACAAAATTGTCATCTATGTATCACAAGTTGCTACACCAAAATATTAAAAATGGGATAAAATTATACATTTCTCTTGTCCATTTTTAAAAAGGGTTCAATATTTCAAAGACAGACCACCTATTTCCCCCAAATAAGACTGGTAAGAGAACTAGAAACCTAAAGTATCCTCCTGGGATAAAAATGTCGCGAGCAGCATCTCCCAACTAGAAAGAAGCCTATATCCTGTCTGCTGGGGTGGGGTGTGCAGTTAGCATATATGTACAAAAACAGTGAAACTACAGTAAGGATGTCTTTGGCTAAACCTTTGGCATAAATTAAAATCAGACTTCAAAGTTACAGAAAAGGTTTTCGTGGTGATGGCAGAGCTTGGGAATTTCTGAGATACCATTATATACAGCTTTTCACTCTCTAAGGAAACAGTAGGAATAAAGGATTTTGGAATCGAGGCAAATGAGGCAATGCTATTTCTTCATTAAATTTTTCTGTAGTATGAAAAACTGTATCAAACCTTTTCACTAAAACATAATTCAATCATAGAAACAACCTCTTCCAGAATTCTTTTTTTGAAACTGCATATGAAAAAAAAAAATAGTAAACCAGCCATGGCAGAAAAAAATGTTTCAGCATATCAAGTACATATTAGTGCAGGAAGGTGGATAAATTTGATCCACTGTATAAATAAGCTTTATGCGCAGCGTACATTAAATAACCATCACACCCCACTCACACCCAGTACACAGATGCTCCTCAGTGAAGATAAACGTTTATCAAGTAATTAAAGTGTATGTAGTGCAAATGTTACAACCAAGTATTATGCACATGCTACTTGCTTGGTTTAAAGTTACACAAAGATGTGGTGCCTGAAATCATGGACATATATACATCCTTGTCACACTTGGTACAATGTCCTAAGCCACAGAAATACCGATGTGTTTATATCTATATATATATACACACACGTTTTCTTAAAATGTGACCACCACATCAATACAGTAACACAAACAGACTAAAATCAATACCTGCTTCCAGATGCTCCAAGGCTCAGAAAGTTTGTGCTTCTAACTCTTGCAGTCATTACGTGCCCCTCTTCCATTTCCCCCTTCTGCCAGCTGAGAAGGGGGGACAGTCTCTTCAGGTCTGTGCTGCATAGGATGAGGGCAACGGAGAGGAATAAACGACGGCACAGGCACCTAAGCTGCTTTCCTCCATCAACAGTCCCACGCCCCATGATGGAGGGTTGAGAGAATTTCCCCTCCACACCGCTCCTGGGTGGAAAGGCTTATTTAAAAAAAAAAAAATCATAACGTGCTTTCCATATTATAAGTGGCAGCAAATCAAGGCACGCTGTACTAATTTTGTAGCATTGAGATTAGCTGACTTTGCAGGGGATGCTCACTGGGGAAGGTCTGACGTTCTCAGCTGGCTGCTGGGCCGCGTTGGGCCATACAGAGTAACAGAAGCTATGTGATTATTCTGCATCACCTGCAAAGGTACAGCAAGGAAAAAGGGAAATTAAAAGAACTGTACACCAAACAGGAACTCAGAAGAGTGAAAATAGTGAAAATGGAACGGATCTGCCTGAAAAAAGGAAATCGAAATAACAAAAGAAAGCAACAAGCTCTTGGCTAGTTCTTAAAAGTGGTCCCTGGATTTCCACGACACATCTAAACACCAGCATGCTCCCCACTACTTGGGGCGAACGCATGCATCTCCTGCTAGTACAAGATCTAGGTGACAAAGTTCCAGCTCGAGCATGCAAATGTACAACCTCAGAGAAGAGACTGGAAGGTTGACTGGCTCTGCCAATAAGATCTAAAAATACAGCCACTCCCAAGCGCTGGCTTTTAGTGAAATGGGAAATAAGAAGCAGTCATAGTAACAGCAAACTCCTCATCTTCTCTTGCTCAAACAAATATGAAAGTTTTTCTCCTAACCTCAAAGATCATTCGTTGCAGTCCGAAGCAAAAGGTTGACCCAAATGGGTTAGTGTTGTTCGGAGATGATGACCTGAACAGAAAAGAGGGGGGAAAAAATGGGATGTGTGAGGATCAGGAACTTCTTAGGGGAGAATCATCACTCAGCAATATAAGTTAAGTTATGGCATCTTTAACATGTCTTTCATCAAAAAGAAAGTAAATTTATGTTATGCAACATCACTGCTAGGCTCCAAGGGAGCCAGAGGGTACCTCTGCTTAATGTCACAGAGCCGTTATACATAGGAAGAGAAGCACCATGTAATTTATTACAAATTATTTTTGTACAAGATCCTTTCCCACTCTTCAGTCTACTTTACATCTCAGCCCCTACCTTATGTATTTACTATATCCTATTAATCCATTGGTTTTATCATGTTCAAAAATTTACCCTGTAAGATGCTGAAATAGAATAAACCAAATTTCATTAAAGGGTACTTTTCAAGATTAATGTATCACTTGTCCTTCAGTTATTTCCAATATTTCTGGATCATATACATGACCACGGCAGACTCCTACTGCCTGCAATGGATTTTAGATTACAGCCAAAAAAAAAAAATCCCCTAGAAAATATTTACCCTTTTGGCCTTTCTTGTAACTGGTCAGTTTCTCAGATTGCATGTCTGAGACATTTGAGATGTGCTCACTAAAGCAAACTCTGGTTGAACTACTCTCTCCAACAGAGGGGAAAAATAGAAGGGCTCTATTTAATAACTGTTTCACCCCAGCTTTCCTTCACATGGCTTCTGCCTTAATGATCTCACTAAAACAGCAGTAACAGGGAGCAAAGGGCACAATGATTTAGGGGGGGAAAAAAAAAGGGGAAAAAGAAAAAAAAAAAAATCAAACTCAAAATCATGTCAAAGCCTAATGAAAATACCTTGTTTGGTATATCTGAAATTGCTACAGTATTTTCACAGTACCCATGACTTATACTTGTCCTGAGATAAATCAGTTTCATATCATAGAACGATAATGCTGCAAACAGACACAATGTCGCATTGCTGAAATGCAAGTGACTAGTATAAAAATTCAACACTATTTATTACACATAAAGAGAGACTTCTTTATAGGCTGCTTAGCTCTTCTCTGGATTTCACAGCTCAAGGAATTTTTGGAAGTATTTTCATTCTGCATGTCAGTTTTCTCTGAGAGCAGCTATCTAGTCTTGTTAATGGCCAAAAAGTCTGAAACTTTACCAGCAAAGCAGCCCAAAAGTACCTAGTGCAATAAACACCCTTCCTCTGCCTAACTCATCCTCTGCTACCAGCTCAACCCTGCCAAGCAGAATGGAGGTCTTTACCTGTGAAGTACCACTGGCTTCTCTACAGGGTGCCCCAGAAGGTCCTGAATACTGTCCCACTGTAAACATAAAGATTTTCTGTTAAAATGAGGCACAGGAAAATTCTTTTTTCATCTACAAAGAGTCTCATGTATATTTTTGTTTGTGACATGTTCATTTGCCAAATAACAGAGGTTGTATTTGCAGAAGTACTGGACTGTAGCAATATTCAGTAATGGAAACTGTCCATTACTAGCGCTAGGAAATTCTCTCACAGTTTATTCTCATTTTTGTCTCAAAATAGCTTTGAATTAAAGGTATTAATATAAAAAATTCTATGGGTCTTACAGGTAAAATGTAGCTGGAAAGTCTTGTGGCATTTCAGGGACATCTCAGAGAATAAAGCAGCTGTAGGAAACCTCAGAAAAATATTCTCTTACCTTTGCAGCAGGAAAAATAGCATCACTGCTACCTCTCCCAAAAGCCTTTCCTTGATTTAAGTAACAAGGAAAAGAAGAGGAAAGCTGCGCTATTTTAACGACTGGGAACATTGAGCAACTGTCATCACTCTAAGCAGACTTAAGAAGCTGGAGTTTCACACACAAGACTGAAATTAGTCAAAGCACCGAAGGATGTAAGCAATTCAAATTAAAAAACAAAGAATAGCAGCTTGCTGGTTGCTGACTCCAACTTTTTCTTCCCAGTAGGTGACCCAAAATTCACCAAAGAAAGTCTTCATTTGGCACCCCAGGAACCAAGAGAGCAGCACTGCTCCTGGCTGAATGTCAACTGTAGAGGCACTGCTAAACACAATTTTTTTAGAAATTCAGCAACTGCCCAGTTCAGAATTTCATTTAGGTAGTAAGACTATACAGTCTTCAAGGAGTCTGCTGTCCTCAGGAGGTGGCACACTGGCAGCGACATTTTTGTAAGGCCTCCTGCTGCCTGAGAAACGTCCCATTACTGGCACCCTTCAGAAAAAGGGGAAGGACACTGCACCCTCTTGGTTAACTACCGCACGTCTTCAAGAGCTACAATAAGTAAAGAGCCCTGTGAAAATTCTGTTTAGAAATCTCTCTTCCAACCACCATTCAGCCACCACTGCTATTGCTTTCCTATATCACTTATTTTACTGTTCTATTCTACCTGCAGGTATCTTAAAATGCAAAGCATGCAACAATTTAGCTTGCTAGAAGCATGCTACCGTGAATGCCTTCAATCCTTAACAAACAAAATGTTTAAGCCACAAAACATGCATTAACTTCCGTCTTTCGACTCTATTTTAAAACACGATACACCTGCTATTATTTCTTCAAAGACTATTATTGCAAATTCAGCAGATCATTTAGGTGGTTTACAAAAGGAAAGAAAACATTCAATTCTGCACAGACTTACCTTGCTGTATGTTGTACATGTTTCTGTCTGTGAATCAGTACTATCTATGAAAGAAAAACAGAAAAGCCTTTATCGTTTACGCTTTTACACTCTCCTATATGATCCTTTATTTTGGGAGGTTGGTTCAGACAATGGGAGACATACAAGCATTAGTTCAGTTCATATACAGATTTACCAGCATCTACTAGCAACCAGAATTGTCGACATTATTGATTAAATGCCAGTTACGGTGATTAAACACATCCTGCCTTCAGCAAGTTCCAAGTTCTAACACTATATATTTAAGCTGTAATCTTACATATAAGAACGTCAGCATAAAAGGAACCACATTTCTTTGCACTAGGTTAACACGCCTCATCAAGATAGCATGTTGTACCACTTGTCAAGCCCAAACGCTCCGCTGCACTTGGAAAAGCAGCTGGCTAAACCGACAGCTTCAGACTCAGGAGCTGGCAGGACTGACATAAGCTAAAGTTTCACTCTCTCAAAAACCCAGCAGAGAGCTTGGGAATTACAGTCCCCAGTATCATTCTTGTGGAAAAAGGAAAAAAAAACCCAACATTATATCTATTAAATAGCAAAAAAAGCTGCAGGTGAGGACAGCATTGCATTTACACTTTAGTCTTAAAAATAGTTTGCTGGCAGTTTCAAGCACTGTTTCATACATAGATTTGGGGACTTCTGAACACTGAAAGCACCCTCTTGAAGCAGTGGGAATGCAGCTAGATCCTAAACAAGTCAAACATTGCAAGTGGTCTTTGATTTGATTGAAAGCTCCTCTGTATTTTCCACCTGCTAAATAAACACGGTCTCTTTATGTTGAAAGAGTTCAGTGCCTGTTCAGATTGAACTCTGGCTCTCAATTTATGATCTGAACTTGACCTTCAGAAGGGAGTTAAAGCTGCATCAGGCACTGCCACCCATCGTTAAAAGACGGGCTCTTCATAAATTTTATAACATTTGTTTACAACTTGTTAAATGTCCTGAACATAAGGTGGAGACCAGAAAGGCCAGTTAAAAAAACCAAACCACCAAACAAAAAACCCCAAAAAGCCAAACACCAAACAAACAAAACCCCAGACATATTCAGAAGAGATTCATGGTACTACTTGAGGTGAATAAAAATAATCAGACACGAATGCCTTTAAAGTATTGCACAACAGCCCAGGGGAAAAGAATTCTAAAAAGTGAACAGAACTTTCATGCTTATTCTCTTGGAAGAAGTACAAATCAACTTTGATATAAGCTTGTATATATAGACACGTTTTTTCCAGGTTTTTATTCCTCTGCATGCTCAAGCTGCTGTGACACCTGCAGGAAGACTGCACTTTGCACAGGTAAGTGCTTTCAGTGAAAACCGATCCTTGTGCAAAACCTAGCCAGTGTCCAGGATTCCCTGGATAATCAAAATACACACCTTCCCAGTAGACGTTAATTCTTACATAAAAGAAGTCTACCTTGATCGCTGTGATCTGCAATCCCACAGGCTGAGATGACTTACACGCACAGAGCTGGGCACATCTAAGCATCTGCCCACATATTCTGGGTGTTTGTTCCCATTCCCAACTAAACCAGTTTATGATAAATATCATGAATAAGCCTTTCAAGAGCAAGTTCAGCATTTAAAGTTCAACAGCAGATTGGACAGACCAGCTCAGATTAACACTGAATTATGAATTTTGATCCTCCAGGTACAAGGGAATTGATTATAACAGAGTGGCAGCATCAGAGAAAATCAGTGATGTTGCAGCTAAATATTTGTATGACCCAAGTAAGTAAATAAGGTAGTATAAGTAAAATCGGAGAACTGCTGAATTTGTCCTGAAGTATCTTTCTCACTTAAGAAATAGAAACCTAAACCCAACATTTCTCCTCTATCTCAATGACGTTCACTGTTCGCATCCTCCGATAATGACGGATGCATTAGAAATGAAAACTGCTCATACCTCCCCTTTGAGCATTTTGTGGTACGTGCCCCCTGAAGCAGGACAACAGATGAACTACTCACCTCGCTTAATGACTAGGGGAATCTTGAATTCACAGCGATGGTAACTAGAAAGTGCAAATTGTAAAGCTATTAGAAAACAGAAGACCCAAAATAAACTGTATAGCACAAACCTGGGGCTCTTAATAGCCAGTTTAATGAAAGGTGACATGAATAATAAATTGAGAGTCTCAATGCTGACAGCTTCAGAAGAAAAGTTTAGTTCTATGTTCTACATAAAAAAAGGCAGCAGCTTGGCAACGTCCTAAAATAATTTTCTAAAAGACACAAAAGGTCCTTCAGCACAAGTTACTCTGCTGTTACACAGAGTGGATGGAGAAACACTCAGCCTAGAAACAGTACCACAGATTTCTCTGTCACCAACGCCAACTGCCTGACAATACGTTCGCCTTAATCAGACACCCAATCGCTTACTCCGTAACTCATATTCCTCCCCTAAAGAGCTGACATTTAAGAAGTATTGAAAATATATTCAGAAGCATGAAAGAATTTTTTGTTTTAATCAGTAACTGAAATCATGTCAAGAAAAAGACAGCAGCCTACCTACCAGTAAATGGACACTCTTGCTAATACAAAGTCTGCCTCATGCAGGAGAGCTGGTACACTATAGCTGGAACCAAGAGCTACCTTATCTCATTCACTGCTTTAAGACATACTTGACAATATAAAGGCATTTAAAAGTAAAAAGAAAATGATTTTTAAAAAAAGTGCTAATAACACTGGCTGAAACCTCCATGGGTTACCAGATACACCAAAGACACATAGGCAAAAATGCTTGAATTCTATAAAGGGAACATAAGATTTCCTTTTCAGACATTTTAAAATACTCTTGTACAGATCAGTTCTTTACACTCACATGTTAAAGTTGTAATGACCGGGATAATTTGTGTGCAGGACAAATTTCTTCACCTTGTGAGTGTTTGCATCAAAGAGAATATCCTATGGAAGAAAAAACAGACATGAAGCATTCTGGATAGGAAGCAGCATTCCACAAACTAACCTGAGATTAGTTACAACAGTCCCTGCAGACAGTGATATGTATCTATGTCGCTGGAACTGAATGAAACCATGAAAAGTAGTATTTGAAAAGGAAACAATTTGTAGATGCAAATAAATGCACATTTTCTCCAGCACTCAATCACAACTGCAGTTTCATTTGCTAACGTTAGCAAGTTTCCTAATGAGGTCTTGTTTCTGGACATTATCCACAGTAACATAAACTAAAGTAAACCAGCTGCAAGGAGGGACATGAAGGTTGAACTACACTCCACAGCTCGGCAAACTTTCACAATTGGTGTTATGGCACACCTGCCTCAGCTGTGTGGGACAGGAGCGTGGATTTCAGAAACAAGAATACTATATCTATGCATCAGGCATGGCAGAGGGAGAAAACCCAAGAGAATGCAAAAAGCATGAACAAAGAGCCCTCTCTCCACCGGCAGAGATGATAAAACATTAATGATTGAATTTGCAAGTGCTAGAGAAAAGCCAGTGTTGTTTTTCATACCCAGAGATTCCTAAGGCAGCAATCAAGAGTTTTGCAGTCTCTCATTTCCCACAGCCTTTGGCCTTCTGAAAGGATTGCTTGTGACTAAACCAAAACCTCACATGAATTTGTTTATGGAAGCTTCCCACTCACCACTCCAAGTGTGAAATAGTTGAAGAAGTAGTCATTGCACTTCGATGGGACCTGCTTATGGGGTGAGGGTGAATGGATCTTCATCTGCAAGAAACAATTTTCAGATGTTTCAGATATTTAACAGCGCTCAGAAAGATGAATGCCATTAGCAACATCATTCAAACAAATTGCTCTTATCTCATTTGAAGTCCTTGTTCAAATACCTAAGGCAACCCTGCTTCATGACAGGACCATCAGCTGCTTGCAGCAGCACAATGATATATCAGGTCTTTTCTTTTTAGTTACCTCAAGTAAAAGTTTTACTCATATGCTGCTATGTAAAAACATTAGGAAAGGATCAAAGTATCCACTATTTTAGATCAAATGTAATTAAAAAAGAGGTAGACCCTTGCTAAGGGTCACTTGGATTCAAAAGTGCTCCCATTTTTATCAATTTTTAAACCAGTTAAAATGATGCAACATTTTTTTAATTTGAGACATCTGCATTTATTTAACTTTAAAAAAGCTTTTAAAAATCAAATTACATAACGGTTCATCCTGGGCTATTATATGTCAAGTGAAGCACTCATGATTTGTGCTACAGGGAAGTTTACCGTTATTCACTGGCCTTGTAAAATGCAGGCCCTGCGATTAAACCGAGAGAGACAAGGTCCCGCGCCTGAATGAATTCCCTCACCTTATCTTCAGACTTGTAGAAGACTTTGTGCGGAGACCCCAGGGTGCTCAGCACATCCTGGCACGAATCCCCAAAGTACACACAACGCTCAAATACCCGCATCTTGGCATCGGCTAAAACGCCCGGGCCACAACCTGAGGAATGGAAAACAACTGAAAATCCATCCTTCCTGACCAGAGAAAACATCAGCACATCAGCACCAAAACCTTATCATTCCTCTACTGATCACAAACCTGTGCCAAACTAAATTTAACCCTTTGTTTCGCAACAGTTTAAACATTTCTTATCCAAGTGATGCATGTGCCGACTGTTGCAGAGGTCCTCACCTTAACCTCCACCTTCAGCAATGCTGTCTTCCCTTCCTTGCCATTCATGTGATCGTCACTTTTTTTCCTAGTCAGTCTCAATTTGATCAGCTGGTTATTAGCAGTGAGTACCAGGAATTGCTTCTATCCTTAAGATACTAGCAACTAGAGATGTATCTCCAGCTAAAAAAAGTAAAAGCTGTGAAGTGAAATTCCTCATCCATATTAACTGTACAGGAAAACACACATTCTCTACCCAACATTCCCATAGCTTATTAAATCAACAGCAAGTGTGCTCCTATGCAAACAATGTTAAAAATGGATCTTACTGAATAGCCATTACACAGGCGAATGTCTGACACAAGGTACTAGATGTTACGAAACAGAAAGATCCTAGTGTGTGACCCCATCTGCTTTCAGGAACCCAGCATCTCACATTCATGAGAAAGCACATACACATATTTTGCAGTTACTGCAAAATGCAGGCTGTGCTCTAAATGTACAGTTTGTCTCACTGTACACGATTTATGTAGCCAGTTACCCAATAAAATAAATAATAAAAATCTGAGTGAGTCACCATTGGTTTCTTAAGCAACAGTTACTTCAAATTAATACACTTGCAGAGAAAGTTGTGCTAGAAGAGGTGTGTGATATGTTCTACAAAGGAGCTTCTACAAACTTTAGCAAGACAAGAACAGCACATGTCCAGATCGCCTCTCTGCACGTTTTCATCTGAACATTAGTGATATATTTTAGTAATTATTTTATTCATTGACAACATTCCCTTTAGGCTGCATGTATATATTTTTAACTAAGCTTGACACTCTACCTTAGAAGTGTCCAATTTCTCAAAATCATTTCTATTATTACGATGTTATAGCTAACTGCTTCCCTAGTACACAAGGATACACGTTCCCTGTCCTAGGCAGCTCTCCATTATCTTCCTCTGTAAAGAGAGAAGCAAAGTAACCGAAAACATCTGCTCCATTTTTACTCATTTTTTTTTATTCTTCATCTTAAATTTTCTCCTTTTTAACTTTTGCATAGAAGAGGTCAAAAGCCGAGCCTGCTAATGAACATTGTTAAAAATATCTCAGTATTTTGTCATGAAAACACTGTCAGGTCTTAAGTTCTGGTGACTGAACAAGGCTCTTTTGCAGTCATCATATCTCTTCCGAAGTTCTAAGCCCCCCTGCCCCACCTGAGAGCATGCACAAGGAGAAGGTATTTATCAGCCTCTGTCCCTTGCACTGCTGTCTCCTACAGCAAATGAAAACAGAACTGAATTTCAAGTGCAGCCTAAGGCTGCAGCACAGATGCAGTTTCTTACTGGCATTTTAAAAAGCCTTCCAGAATCAATCACAGAAGTATCAACGTTCTACAGATCACTGGAATCTCAGAAAAAGTACACGTACATAAGGTGTCTTGGTTTCTCACGGGTTTTGGTGATGTACTTGCCTCTGTTTTATTCTGGAAACAAATTCCATTTCTGCAAACAGACTCTAAGGACTTGGAACTACAGAGGACAGGGCTACAGTCCTCTGCAATTTCTGCAGGGCCAGGGAAACGCAGCAGTGGGCAGACTCACCTTCACAGGGTTTTTACTGGGTTTTGTTTCCAATAGAACACTTTGAAATCACCTGTAAAATTGTCACAAATAACCTAATGCTTCATTTATACAGGTTTATCCCTCTTTTCCTGAGGAAAGCAAGCAGCTCAATGTCCTGAGTGTCACTAGTACCTGCAGTGAGTAGGCGAAGCCGTAAACCTGAGGGTCCAGTTCCATCTCTCAGAACATCGACGTTCTCAGCATACACATTACCAAGGAAACAGCTGAGGGGCATCAAGGGAGCCCTGAAACCAAGCATACAAAAAACGTGCACAGGATTTGCTTTATCTTCTAATTTTCCATTAACAAGCTGGTACCAGTTCACTGCAACAGAGCACGTTAAGCTGCATTTAACTCAGACTGAGGATTTAAGTTATATTAAACACAAGGATCAGAGAGCCTGGAGAAACAGGAACAACAAGGCAGCACTCAAATGCAGGACCTTTACTATTAATGAAATAAACAGCAAGTTTTAAAGACTCCAGAAACCACAGAAACTGTATCTAGCCTTTGGATACTTGGTGTGAGGATGTATTATTTCAGACTTCTCTCAGGGAAAATGGAAGTTGTCAAGTTTTAAAAGATACCAACTCCTTGATCTAGGCATATCACCCAAATACAGCAGAAAAGCCACCTCTGTGATGCTCTCACTGCTCTTGGGAACATACTCCCTAGCCCAGAAGAGGAATTCAGCTTGTGCCGGTGCACCGCAAACCATTGCTCTGCTTTAGTGGGACAGTTCTCATTTTAACTCAATTACAATAACAGTTGAGAAAATCATAACAGCCTCAGGAAAGATATTTTCAATGGAAGGGCTTTTTTTTGTGGGCTAGTTTGTATATGCTCTGTAAAGTTCACTTTTCCTATATGAATTTCTCCTCTGTGTGAATGACTTGAGCTGAAAGTCAGGCTTTGAGCTCTCACACACACCCCCCAGAGCCCCGTTGACAATTAGTGCCTTCACCAGAGCCCACCATGTCACAGATGGGCACAGACAACATTCTTCTCAAGTGCACTTATTTCTAATTAGGAGGCAATGTCTGCAAAAAACAAGGTTCCCTCCCTTCTCAGTGGTAATCCAAGGATGTGTTAATCTTCTCCTGGCATCAAAACACAGCTGTCTCTGCTAAAACTATCACCTTATCAGTTTGTGTATTTTTAAGCTGAAAAGAAGAATTTACAGAACGGCAGGAACAATGCTTTGAAAAAGAGCAAAACATGAGATGTTGTACAATAAATTACTGCTGAAGACAGAATTCAGTATCACAGAAAACATTAGCCATGTGAAAATATAACTATTCTACTAATATTAAGTCATGAAGATTAGTTTTCTCAGAACAGTAAATTCAGTCAGGTGACTGGAAAGGTACTGAATATATGGTAGATTATGCATATGGCTTAAGCCTGAAAAATACGTATTTTATTATTTTTGTATAGCAAGAGAGCTTAAGACCTTTGGTAGGACCCTGCCATGACATACACAGTACCAATACACTACAAAATGACTGACTGCCTACACCGAGTTTGATTTGTCTAGGGAGAGGTCATTAGCATGCAAACAAAATCTAGAATAAGAACAGCCTAACTGTATCTCTTACCAGATTCACTACATTTCCTCCTTTACGTAATAAATTTGTTTTCAGATCAGTTGGATTAGCCTACTGCAGCTGAGCCAAGCCCATTCTATAGCAATACAGATCAAACCAACATTTGACTATAAGGGCTGAGGACAACACCTATGGAAATTTGAAAGAGGTTGGTTTCTAAATGCATTCTGCACACTACCAAATTCATAAAACATCCAAACTGAACTAAAAAAGTATATGACTACCTTTAGCATTTACAAAACCCTAAATAAACGAGGAAGAAAAAGGATACTCTAAGTGATCAAAACAGCACGACCAGCTGTACATACTTGGTGTCCTGCAGGCTGTTTCCGTTGTAGATGTACATACGTTTCACAGTCGCACCATGTGGAATTTGCAGAGAGGCTAGACCATGGGCAAAGTTAGGCTGTGGATATACAAAATCATCCTCAGTACATGACACACTGGACACTTTAGGTCAAAGTTATAAATTACAATCGGAATACAGTACATGCTTACCAATTCAGATGAGTCTCCAGCCACAGGGGGGAAAACAACAACAAAACCCATTGGATGTGGTGTTTCTTTACATTACACCCCTCCTGGATTCCCAAGCTAGTGTGAAATGCTCACTGTGACCATCCACCAAAAGATGGCACTAGTCTGACAATTAGCCATGGTGTGTACCCAGAATTCAAGTTTCCTTGGTTTGATCACTGGCAAGTACCAATATAGAAGTATTTGTACTGATACGCTGTATTTAAGGTCTCAGAAATTGGCTAACTTCTTTTTCTCTCCCATTGCATTACTTTCAGCCTTTTAACATTTTCGCCGGTTTGTAAAATGCCTTTATCAGATGAACAGAGACTCAATTAATTAAATAGATTTTCCACTCTCCTTATCACCACATTGTTACACATATTGTTCTGGTAAGGGTTTTGAGTGTTCTCATGCTATAGAAACATGCTAAGGAAGTCTGATTCATTCTTCTGGTGCAGTAAGAGCCTACTTCTGTCAACTCTGAAGAGGACAAGCCCATCAACATACTTTCCTGGACAGAAAATAAACTAACTTTGTCACAGACAGTCAATAAAAACAAGATGTACAATATGGAAACTATTACCTGGGCTACTTTAGCAGGACATCACATACAGTGATGTGATAACAAAAAGTTATTATTAGAAAAAAAAATAAAATTAACCCAGAGCAATAACTTTCACTGCTGAGGTGTTCAGAAGGGAACCTCCAGTAAACTAGCAAATCTAGGGATGCCCTGATTTTAATCCTCTTTCTGAATTTGCCCAGAACATGAACACCTCAAAACACAGCTTTCTAAAGTAGTCAGACTTTAGACTACTTTTTCATCAGAACAGAGAAATCTTTTCTAGAGCCACGGAAGCACCTGGGCCATATATGCCTCATTTCTTAACAGAAACAGGGTGTGAAGGTTTTCATGTTCTAGTAACTAGTTTAGCATTCCTACATGAGCCTCTCTAAACTCGAAAAATTTTGACATCTTCAAATTTCATTTCACTCTTCAGTCTTTCCTAACGTTCCTCCCTGAAATGCTCCACAGTCGTCTTTCCCGCAGACTGTTTCCTGCTACTCTGTTTTCTAAACTATCATATTTCTACCTAGTTATAATCCTGGGGAGAATTTTGCCTTTCACTCTGTGCAAACAACGTTTTACTAACCTCATTTGAACAACTGGATGAAAGATTTTGAGAATGCAAAATTATTTTCTCCACTGGTCCGGCAACCACAAAGAACTGTATCATTGCCAAGAACCACGCCATGTCCCTCTCGAAGCATATTCACACCAAGCATTCTGTAACTATCCCGAATGATTTTCTTGGTTAACTGAACCAAGTACCAAATCAAGATCCAATGGCTAAAATTGATTCTAGCAGTTTAATTTTAACATCTTTTAGTTTTAGGTAGTCTGGCAAGAAGCAGGGAGTAGGACTCCATGATCCTTATGGGTCCCTTCCAGCTCGAGATATTCTATGACTTTATGACCTTTTCAAATCTTTGGTGTAACAACTGACTTTCCTAGCAGCTCGGCCATTTCATTCATAGAATCATAGAATCATCAATGTTGGAAAAGACCTCAAAGATCATCAAGTCCAACCCAACACCACCTAACCCACTAACCCATGTCCCCAAGCACCACATCTACACGTTTCTTGACCCCCTCCAGGGATGGTGACTCCACCACTGCCCTGGGCAGCCTGTTCCAATGCCTCATCACTCTTTCAGGGAAGAAACTTTTTCTAATATCCAGCCTGAACCTCCCCTGGTGCAACTTGAGGCCGTTTCCTCTTGTCCTGTCACTTGTTACTTTAGAGAAGAGGCAGCACCCCCCTTTCAGGCAGTTGTAGAGAGTGATGAGGTCTCCTCTCAGCCTCCTCTCCTCCAGACTAACGAACCCCAGTTCCCTCGGCCGCTCCTCGTCAGCCCTGTG